TTGGTGCGTGTAAAAGATCTGCGGGCTCTCGGCTTGCTGCGGTCCGCGGGCCGGTTCTAATAATAAATCAATATCATCCCAGGGGCCACTGAAAACATTCTCGCGGGCCGGATTTGGCCCGCGGGCCGGCACTTTGACATATGTGATTTAGAGCCTTTGTCTTGGTAGTTTTTTTGGGAATGCTGGAGCACCCAGAGAAAACCTACATAAGCACGGACAACCATGCTAACTCCACACAGAAAGCTCAGAGCCCAAATTCAAACACCAAATTCGGAACTGTAAAGCACGTTCCTCAATAAGTAGCTCTCTGACAGATTCAATCAAAACCAAGCATGGCCACCCTTGTAAATGGCCAGTTTTTTGATCGCATCGGTTCAACCCAACAGAATTGCAGAAAAGTCCCACATCACACCGAAACACACAAGTTTGATTGAAGAGCATGAGCCAACAAGCCACATTTCCCGCCAGTTTTGTGTGTGCTCTTACTGTGGAAGGTTTGCAGGTGGACCGTCAAGCCGCTGGCCTGGCTGTGGCCTTTTCCGCATTCGCGACATACGTAGGGCTTATCGCCCGTGTGTGTCCGCACGTGCCGCGTGAGCTCGATTGACTGGGCGAAGACGGCCTTGCAATACTGACAGACGTACATTTTGCCTAAAAGGACACAGCAACGACAGTCACCGAAACAGCAATGAATTCACATCCCCAAATTTGACCTCGACGATGTCTCGATCGCTTCGCTGAAAATTGTCATTTGGTGACGACGCCATTATAATGCTGCCTTGACGCGTGCTCATGCCTCACCCTCGGAGTGTTTCTTCTTGGTGTGGTAGGCCAGCGCCGCAGCCACTCTGAAGCTCATGTCGCAGTGCTTGCAGTGGTAAGGTTTCTCTCCCGTGTGGAGCCGCATGTGATTCTTCAAAGAGGAGGTGGCGGGAAATTTGGCGCCGCACGTCTCGCAGGCGTACGGCTTCTCCTCAAAATGCTCCGTGCGCTTGTGGTAAATCATACCTGGACAGTATTGACATGCAAGGAGCAGAGACCGAGCAGCATGACATGAAACAAAAACTCAAGTTTTCATCCGAACCCATTGGCTAGCATGGACTACAATGAAACTCACTTGTGCGCTACACTGATATTCTGTCTTCTCCATCTCATATTTCAGATTTCAAATGCAATTATTGTATTGGCCCGAATCTAAGACGGCCCTGATTATAGGACGACCCCCTCTTTTTCAAGACTCAAGTTTTAAAAAAGACTTTTTGAACACCAAATTAATTTTTATACAGAAAATAATTACAGTACATCTGAAACAAATGATTATAACAATATATTTGAGAGAAAAAGCATGTTATTTGTCCTCATTCAAATCATAATATCTGAACATTTAAATATGTAAAGTGCAATCACATTCGTACATGAATGGCTACTGGTTTTTGAAATGTAAATGACATCGTAACTTCTCCTCAGCTGCCGGTTAACCTGGCCGATCTTCGAGCCACTTTTCTCCAGATTGTCGCTACGTTTCTCCATTTTCTGTTATCGCTTCTATTATGTTATTCTCTTTTCTTTCTTACCGCTATTTTTTATTTTTCTTCTTCGTGCTACCGCTATTTTTATTTTTATTCTTCGTGACAGGGGTTCACTTTGGCATGGGGAGTCAAAATCAGCATTCGCTTCAATGGTATCTGGCGCCATCTAGCGTCGTGAATGGGTATAATGTCTAGACCCCGAATATAAGACGACCCCCACTTTTTCAGTTTTATTTCAATGCAAAAAACACCGTCTTATATTCGGGCCAATACGATAATCCAGGGGCCCCCAACCTTTTTTGCCCCACGGACCGGTTTATGTCAGACAATATTTTCAGGGACCGGCATTTAAGGTGTGGTGGAAATAATACAACAAAATAATATGGTATGAGCTGCATGAAAACTGTGGCGTTTTCGAAATATAATAATAAACACAAGGGGCGTCTAATCTGGTCGCAACACTCATCGCTCTGGTAATGTTTAATGCCTTCAAAATACGATACAACGCAAACTCAAAGAGGTGGGATGTCGGAAATAGCAACAGTGCTATTGTGGCGATCTCAGAGTATTCAGCCATAACTTTAATCCAGTTGTCTCGAACGTACTTTTAAGGCCGCCGTGATTTGCGATCTCCAGCAGTTTTTTTTACTCATTTTGCGAGCTCCTGCATTTTGTTTTGAAGTACTCGGTCACGTGACAGAGAAGCGTGGCTTGACGTGTGTCAAGCGTGACACAGACGGATGTAACGGAGAATCCGGTAGTTTTTCAAAATAAAACATCTTTCGTATTCCGAAATAAATAAAACGGAATTAAGGCAAGTTCTTTCTGTGCGGCCCGGTACCAAATGCCCGGCGGACCGGTACCGGTCCGCGGACCGGCGGTTGGGGACCTCTGCGATAATCAACCAATCTTAGCTGTTCTGGAGACGTGCATGGCAAAGCAAAATAATACTCAACCCGTTTCTTATCTGCTACTATTATCCTGGTGCAGGAGCAGGCACTCACCTGATGGGTGTGCAAAGGTCCGCCCACAGAGGTCACAGGCGACCTTCTTCTTCTTGTCTCCTGCATTACCTGGGTGAGCCTCAGTCAAATGACGCTGTAAAGCCCTCTTGTTGGGCAGCTTCAAAGGGCACTGCGGACACTGCAGCTGACAATCCTTGGACATGGGGCAGCGCTTCATATGGGCCATAACTCGGCACTTGTAGGCAAAACTCTTCTTACACCAGCAACAGGAGTAAGACTTTGAGAATGAAGAGTGCTCGTCTTCCTCTTTCACCTCAGGCTCTTCTATGTTGCTCTGCTCGAGCTTCATTTCACTTTTGCTGCCGCTGTTCTCCATTTCTGACTCGGCTGTGAAGTTAAGACAACTAATAAGCACCATCACCGATGCGGCAATTTTTTTAGTTTGTCATTTTGATTAAGTGGCGTGTCTGCTCACACAATATTTCTACTGCTTGACTTGCAGCCTGAGGTCCATCTGGCTCCTGCATATTCTCCAAGGTCTCCAGCTGCGAGAGCCATGACATAGGGAAAGAGGAGGGAGCTCCCTGTTGGACAGTGCGGAGCAGCTTCAGGACAGCTTGCTCACTGACAAGTCCCTTCTCCACTTGGCCCCACAGCTGACTCACTACTGAGGGCGGGTCATCTTCTTCACAGCACTTGCACACTAACTGGCAGGGGGAAAAAAATCATTACTGTAACTCAAAGAAATCCTGTCTATGTTCACTGTTTTAAGAGAGCCCATTGTCATTACTTTGAAGCCATTTTTACCACTTGGTTATGTCGTGAACTTCAGTTCATCGCAGGAGATGTGTTCCAGACCTACTGACCATTAGTGAAATCCCGCAAGAGCATAAAACAAACATTTTTATTCTTTAAAACCCATGTGCTGCAGTCGATCTAAATAAGTTTATATAACGCAACACACAAGTTTACAAAAATTGTAAAAGTATTATTCCTGAATATTTATTTCACTTTCAACCACTCGACATGTTCAGTGGCATCAGTGCTATACATACACATATAGTTCTTTTTTTGTATTTTTGCCCCCAACACCCTCTATGGACAATAAAAGCGGTATTGTGCTATGACCAAAACATAAATATAAATCTATATAAATAAAACATGAATTGGAATATTTCATATCACACACTTTTTATGCTGTGTCTTTGATTTAAAGATGACAATACGCAAAAATCTACAAAAATTGTAGAAATTGTAACATATGGGGTAACCCATGTGTTACAAACATCGTAGAAATTGCAGCACAAGGGTTACACACATTCAAATGCATTAAAACATACTTTTTAATCATGTTTTAAATATAACGCAAAAAAATTGCAAGCATAAAAAGTTTTATAGACAATGCTGTACATAACAAGCAGAAAAACCACCCCCCTTCTCCTAGCAAACACAAAACCCAGAGAAAGGCAGGCGAACAATCAGAGTCAACAGCGTGGCAAGACACTGGTCAGAGCGTCAACTGCGTGACGAGACACAAGGGAAGGTGCTGGGCGGGACTGCGAAGATGCGCAGCCAATCAGCTCACGGGATAAATCCACTCGTGCGGTCATTGGTCGACGTCGCTCCGGGTACCAATCATGCGTACCGGCATGTACAAAACCTCTGAGTCAGTCTGCATTTTTTTTTCTGAATACAGTACGTCGGGGAAAAAAAACACGATGTACTGAAGCCGTGATAAATGAAACTCGATAAAGCAAGGGATCACTGTAGTTCACATCCACACTTTAGGTATTTCACACACGACTTAGTAAGTCGCACACAAGATACTTAAAGTGCAAGTGCACATGAACCTAATTCGTGCTTGGTTGCTTCATACTGGAGATTATGGACACAGGGAGCTACAGGCAAGTTTGATGAATAATTTAGCCGTTTGCGTAAGAGCTGCAGTGTGATCTTACCCCTTATGCGCCATCATCTACCATTTTGGTAAATTCTGTGAATTTGTCACAGTTTTTCTCTGACAAAGTTAAAGAAATTACTCGGCACACAGGGAAAATTATCTTCAAGATCAGCGGGAGGGATCTCTGAGAGCGAACGACGGTAGTTGCCCTGATGATCACACACTCGAGCTCCCTTCCCGCCAATTCAGACTTTTATTGTAACATACAAGGAAAACACTGCCCCCGATATTTGCACACCGCACCCCCGGTCCGGCCCCTCAGTAGTGATTGGTTACCTGGGTTTAAGCTTTGAACCACCGGTACATTGGCACCTTTCTGTCTGGTCTACACTGAATCAACATGTTGCAGACTTTACGGACGGCCAATGTCGCCTGGGCACGACGGGTGTTCTCAAATCATCTTTTGTTGTTCAACCGCTGTTCCCGAATTATTCATTCCCCCTTTTTGACCGAGTCTAGCAGCTCTCTCCTCTGATCGCCCACCTGCATTGACGTGCTAATTGTGGATTTCAACAGCCCTCCGGCCAGGTGGCCGGCGCCTTTGTGCACAGGCATTTGGGGGTGCCGGATTCACACCCAAACGTTTAGACGTGCCCAAATTAAATGAAACTTTAAACATGATACAATTTTGCTCATAGATTCCTCTAACAGAATTTTATGTTTAAATCAATGCAAAAGCATATAAAACACAACCTAAAAAACACTAGGGGGCTAAAAATTTCCCGGGAGTGTGTAAAATGTGCTGAAGTTCCAAATGGCACCATTACTGACTTAGTTATCGCACCTTTAAAACATCTACCATTTTGGTAAAATATGTACGTTAAGGGTTACATACCTGTCAACCTCGGCTAATAGCTGCCCTTATAAATTATTACGATTCCCCTTACAAAGCAACAAAAATCCGTACAACATGCACCGTGCAACACAAGCTAACACAAGCGGAAATGCAGACGGCTTACTGCGCATGTGCACATCATGCTTAATCATTCCTACCGTACGCAGCGATGAAAAAAAAAATATGATTGAAGATTACTTTTGCTGGTTTGCCGTGACAATAATAGCAATTGATGACGGCATTGTCATTGGCCACCAGCAGGTGAGACGATCTGGATTTGAGCCAAAATGGTCTTTGTGAGATCGGTTCACAATTTTTTTTTCCTGTATAAAAGTTGCAATACGTCGTACATGATTTGAAATGATAAAAAAAACATAAAATACGGGGAAAACGTACAAGTTGACAGGTATGGGGTTAGTTTGCATATGTTACAACAAGGGGTATTACTGCAGAGGGATGAGGATAGATACCTGTCTCTCCTGTTCACCCAGAGAGCTGTGTGCTGATTGGCTCAAGAGCTGAACAAGGTCTGGCACACTGGCAAGTTTCTCAGTCAGCTGAGAAGAGCGCTCCAACCAAGTCGGTGTAATTTTGGTGGCTGTTCTATCGTCTTCTTCTACGGCACTATCTGTGGCTTTGTCTTCTTCGGGCACTGAGGACAGATATATAAAGAATGGAATCTTACCCATGAAGAATATTTATAATAATTTCATTATGTTTTGACAGTTGGCTGCAGTGCGTGGCTTTAGACACAATGTCCTTCAACGCTCTATTGATATCTTGAATACAACAGGTTCCGAAATAATAATAATAATGAAATATTTTTTTTTTTTAAAAAAGTATTTGACATGCATTTAGAAACTGACCTGGAGACTCTGAAAATTCTGGACAGACTCTTTTACATGAAGGCTCCTTTGCAATTTCATTTGGATCTTCACACCGATGCGCCTCTGAATTATCCTTCACCTGTATCCCATCTTCAGCTGACTTATCATTGCTGGGTGAAGCAACTGGAACTTCAGAGTTAGGGCTCTGGATTTTGTTGACTGGGGTGAGGGTTGGGGTCTGTGTAGAAGGTGGGGAGGCTAGCGGCTGCTGGTTGATAATGTTGGTGAGGACATTTTTAAAGCTCACAGCTACATCAAACATCTGCAGGTTGTCTGCAGCAGCAATGATGCGGCTGACGTTGTGTTTTCCCATTGGTAGCTTGCCTGTATAGACCATGTCCAGAAGGCAGCCGAACTCCTGCGAGGAAACCAAAGTGGTGTCGATGGAGACAGTATCAGAATAATTCAGCAGCGACCTGAAGGGATACAGACAGTTTATTTTCAGTCAGAACCACCTTTGACTTCTGGCTACCTTAAGTGGGTGGAAAAAAAAACTGTACTCAGTGATTCAATAAAAATGGATTGCATGTAAAAGTAATGTTTAAAAAATATATATTGACGAATAAATGCAAATCTACATTAAATTCAATGCAACTTAAAAAAATGCAACTAGAAAAAAATTATTTTTATATGTCCAACATGGCGCCCAAGTCGGCAACCGTCAGCAAGTGCTCTCATGAGCCTTGCTTTTTTTTTGTTGTTGTTTTTGTGTGCGCCTGTAATGGGCAGCATTTTACACAGCCCCGCTTTGTTCAGTGGAGAGATCGGTGCTGTTGGAGAGTCTGCGGCTGGATGGATGCATGGCTTGAGGGGCCGACAATGAGAAGAAAGGAGCGTCAGCGCAGAGCGCCGATGCAGATGTGGAACTGGGAGTCGTGGCTTGGAGTTGAAGCGGATTACGTGGGACAGGAGATGTGAGCCAATCTCTTTTCGTCAATGGACGCTACAGCTTCGTGTTTGCTTTCAAAACTTAGCTGGTAGCAGACGTGTACACGTTTTCAGCATGACGTCTCTGATCCACTGGTGAAAGGACTCTTTGATCCTCTCCTCTTTCATCCATAACTGCTTCAAACAACAAAGTGTATGCAGGAAAAGTGATTAAGATAGCACGACTGTCTGTGTCTTATGTGTCGTGTTGTGTTATTTTGACTTCAAGATGGTGCCGCGAGAGTGGCTGCCTTTCCAGCCGCTCCTATATTTTGTTCTTCTACTTCTTCCTTTCATAACTTTGCTGCTGCGAATTGGGAATTTCGCCATTGCGAGACTAATAAAGGTTTTTCTTATCTTAACTGAAGAATATTTAAATGGATTGTTTACAAAAAGTATTGACTTTATGACGTAACTAAGATTTTGTACAATTTGAACATTGACTTCACTTATGATTAAAGATGATTTTAAAAAACAAACAAAATAATATTTTTTTAAAAAAAAAGCTTCTACTTTGGAAATGGGTTCAGGTGTCCCGATACAACCAATACAACTTTTTTACTTCCGATACAATATCGATATTCAAACCTAGAGTACTATCTAATACTGATATTGATCCGATACCAGCAGAAATCATACTTGGGTATGATCTATATGGGTTATTTATTTTTTTAGAATGAAATGTTAGAAGAGACTCGATGAAGTGATACTATTCAAACAGAGAACAATAGTCAGCAGCATCAGGTCTGAGCAAATATCTCGAGGGTCGAGGGTCGGGGCCAAGCTGGATTCTATCCCAGCTGTCGCAGGGCACACATAGACAAACAACCTTTCACACTCAAAATCACACCTCGGGACAATATAGAGTGTCCAATTAACCTACCATTAATGTTTTTGGAATGTGGGAGGAAATTGCAGTACCTGGAGAAAACCCACGCAGACACGGGCAGATATTGCAAACTCCACACAGGAAGACCAGACTGAGAAAATATGACCTGTCTGTTCCAAACATTCGGGTTACATTATTTCATTTTCAAATAAATAAAAAATAGAGGATGCTGAAAAATAACCCCAGTAAATAAAAAAACTTACTCTTTGAAGTGCAAAATAACAATTCATGTTTATTTATATCTGAGAATCAATTCGCTATATTCATGCTGCTGCAAGACCAGGAGCAGATTCTTGAAAGGACCCCTTTGGTATGAGTGCTTTGAGTGTGAGATTTTAATGTAGACTGATATAATCCGATACAGTTTTTGTGGGGGATGATATTGGACCAATATCAATATCAGATGAGGACACTTACCATACGGCAGGCACACTATGAGAATCATTGATCTAAACAATGCAATGGTTGCAGATATAAATAGAAATGCATCATATTTGTTGTCCGAATATTTTAACATGAGGCTCTGGGTAAAACAAATATTCACAGTACCTGAAAAGCATGCTGGAAGCTGCCAGGACTATTTTATGTGCACGGTGAGGGTTGTCTCCCACCAGGACCGTGCAGTCACAAAAGTGACCCTCCTTCCGCAGGGTCCACAGTTGCTGCATCAACTGGCTGCTGTAGTTAGGGAGTTCGATCATTTTGTTGATCTGCTCCGCTGGGGAGAAAGCTTCCTCTACCCTTGATATAGAGAACATTCTGTTAAATGCTTACAACGTTTCGGTTTTATTTCAATACCGCATTGAGTAAAAATTAGCACGTGTGTTTTATTTAGGCCTACACAATTAGGCAGTTGCTACAACATCACGAACGAGGGGGTTACTGTAATGAACTGGTAAACAGTTGCAAAACCTAAATTCGAATACAGTACATGTGGAAAGAGCTTGGTGTATAAAATACCACGATTTAGATAATGGACACAGGTCCAAAGCCAACAAAGAACGTTTTTCTCATTTCCCCAGATTAAGCCCAAATTAGCTATAGCAATTGATGCTAAAAAGGCAACAAAGATTTTGGCCGTGGGGGAGACGACCGATTTTAACGGTGACCAAAAAACGACCACAAGCACCACTCATGATGCTCTCACTCAGTGGTTGTCTTTACCTTGTCTTATTCAAACGATCCATTTCTTTATTTAAACATAGTTGTTGGACAAATCCAGACCGTGCAATAAAGCTTCGCAGATTTTGAACATGGCGACAACCCGGAGCCGCACAAGATGACGACACTTCCGGTTAAGAAAAAAAGATAGGACACGCCTCTTTTAAGTTGTGTGCGGACAGCGAAAGCGAAACTGGAAGGGGCAAAATTGTCAGCGCAACCCACGTGAGGACGCCAAGAAACCCGAATAGAGGATGCCGGCACATTGCATTGCTATACGTCTGTGCACACACCGAATATTCATGACATTTATGAAACTGAACAACCTTCACGGACAAAAAAAGTTTGAATTTATTTGATTGATGATATGGATGGATAGCACACTTTTTGGCATAGACACTTGGAAAACTTCTATGAAGAGATCAGTTGAGAAACAAAGTTTTTACTCTCTATGTCCATGCCTTTCCTTTGATGGGAGAGTTGTCCCAACATCACCGCCTCGTAGGCAAGGCGGTTAGTTACGCTGATTCATCTCGCTGGTGTTTTCAGGCCTCTTCAGAAAGCCAAATCACCCAACATGTATTCCACCTTTCCATAACCTTTGTTGGAATACTGTACATGTACCAACACTTCATTAGGATTTACTCTAAGGCGCCAGTAAGAGTTCACCAAAATGGACTACAAGTTTACTACAAAACAAGTGATAGGACCGCAGTGAAAACTGCATTACAAATAGGAATGTGCTTGTGTAACTTTGTATTAGTGCTTGTAAATAAATAAGGACAATTAAAACATTGATATGTTTCATTGTTTTATTAAAAAAAAAAAAGTTTTCTAAAGTGACTGAAATGAGGAGGTTGTTTTTGGGTGAGGATTTCTCCTGCTTTTGAAAAAAATCCTCTGACATGGCACAGATGATGCTGGTGTAGAAATGTATAGCCAGTTGGAATAAATTGGGGAAATTGTGTTTTTGTCCACTGCAGTGGATCTTCGTGTTGGTCGATGTGCTATTCTGCCAAGTATTTCTGAACTTAAATTGTCGCATTCAGTGTCAGATTTAGATTGGGTTTCTAAAAGAACTCCCAACCCGGGGAATACTTGCTCTTTCTCATTTTTGCTCATTCCATTGTGCGCCTACGTTATCCGTACGTCACCGTTTAAATTTGGATATTCAAATGCGGTAGTAACTCTGTCCGCTCACACTTTAATTCTGGAGCAGTTTGTGGAATTAACAGTAAGTTTTAGAGACTCCAAATCATTAAAACCCTATTGTATCTGAAATACTGTATATTGCAAAATGTGCACATTCAATTGTGAGCAAATTAATAAATTGGCCATTGTAACATTAGATGAGCTGAGACAGTTTTTGAGTCATTACAAACTGAGTTGTCAATGGTCAAATATTTCATCTTTGAAAATATAATTTGTCATGGGAACAAAATAATTTTGTGAGAATTGTATGAGTCGAATGATTTGAAAAATAACTTTATTGTCAATAAGAAATAACAGTGGAAATAACAGTACACTGCTTGCATTCAGTTCCAAACTTTCAACCAATAAGGTTTGCATTACTAACATTTCTGTAGGAAATAACTGCTATACAACATATGGTGAGGTAACAATATTTTTTTACATATTTGTGCATTCACGTAACACACCTGGATAATCTCAAGTGAGAGTACAAGTTAAACAAGTTTTCACATGAACAGAACACTGTACTTTCTTCCATAATTTAAAATTCCAAACGACAAAACTGTAGAACATAAGGGAAGACAACATATGCACTGAATTGTATTAATCTGCATTGAGCCAGAAGTGCAACAAAAGTCCGGAGACAACGATTGAGAACTTGCCTTAAGCAGGAAAAAAAAAATAGCTGGCTTCCAGCATAATCACTGTCACCATTCAACAATGGCTACTGAAAAAAATAAAGCACTTCTTTATACATTGACACTTGATAAATTAAAGCATGGCTCAACTCAAACATGGTGACATCAAAGATTTTGTCTTCAATGTCCAAGAAGCCCAGTGCCTGTAAATACACGCGCACAAACATTCTATAAATCAATGTTTTGCTTTGATACCTTAAAGTGTGAGTGCAGATACTCTCCCTCTCTCGCTCTCTCTCTCTACACACTCTACACCAGGGGTGTCAAACATACGGCCCGCGGGCCGGAACCGGCAAGCAAGGAGGTTCAATCAGGCCCGCAGGATAATTTAAAAGTGAAAAAAATGCATTAAAGACACAGAATTAATACTTTTAATAAGGTGCAATTTATTGAGTATCCGCAAGGGGACACTGTTTTGATCAGAGAAGAAGACAACAGCAGCCTCAGTCGGTCACTGAGACAGACCCATGACAGCAGACGCTATCAATAGCACTCTCACATTTACACATTTAATAGCACTCTCCTTAGTTTGTAAGGTGTAGGCAGGGATTACATTTAGATATTATATGCACGTGTAAATGGTTTAAAACTTCCTTTCTTTATAAATCTTGTTTAATCTTAAAGTGCATTACTATATTTTTCAACACCAATTACTTGTTAAAGTTTGTACAATCAGTGGGATCAGTTGCAATGCATATATGTAAATGATAAAAGTAAATTGCAAATTTGTCTAAGGAAATCTTAGGTGCACACACACACACACACACACACACACACACACACACACACACACACACACACACACGCACGCACACACACATGCATACACGCACGCACGCACTGTATTTTCCGCACTATAAGGCGTACCTAAAAGCATTCAATTTTCTCAAAAGCCGACTGTGCTTTATAATCCGATGTGCTTTATATATGGATCAATATTCTGATTTCTTGGACGTAGTATTTTAAATGTTCTGCAAAGTACTGTTACAGCTGCAGCAGTTGTGAAAGTATGTATGAATGTAAATAAAGTCAAGTACAACTTTATTGTCAAATGTGCTATATGTGTAACATACAGCAGAGATGAAAAAAGGTGTATTGTATTGTATTTCCTTTAGCCTAGCTCCATCTAGTGGATGCAAAACGCAACTGCAGCCACTATTGTAGCTTCTATTCTATACGCTTGATAATGCGGTACGCCCTATATATGAAAACAGTTTTAAAATAGGCCATTCATTGAAGGTGGGTCCTGTACTCCAAAGTGCATTATGTTGCGGAAAATCCGGTATACAGTATATATTTAGAGATGGTGTGAAAATGCTTACCTTTAAATCCCTCTTCTGGCATTCCCACTATAAATTAAGTGATTAACAGTGTTAGGGAAGAAAAAAACTAGGTGAATAGACAACTTTACTAGAGCAGGTAGAGGTCCTTCTAAAAAAATTACATATTGTGATAAAGTTCATTATTTTTTGTAATGTACTGATAAACATTAGACTTTCATATATTTTAGATTCATTACACACAACTGAAGTAGTTCAAGGCTTTTATTGTTTTAATATGGATGATTTTGGCCAAAAAATAAAGGAAAAAACAAAAACCCCTTTCTAAAAAAATGTGCATATTTCATCCAACCAATAAAAAAAAGTGTTTTTAAGACAAAAAAAAGTCAACCATCAAATAATTATGTTCAGTTATGCACTCAATTCTTGGTCGGGAATCCTTTTGCAGAAATGACTGCTTCAATGCGGTGTGGCATGGAGGCAATCAGCCTGTGGCACTGCTGAGGTGTTATGGAGGCCCAGGATGCTTCGATAGCGCCTTAAGCTCATCCACAGTGTTGGGTCTGGTGTCTCTCAACATCCTCTTCACAATATTCCCCAGATTCTCTTTGGGGTTCAGGTCAGGTGAGTTGGCAGGCCAATTAAGCACAGTAATACCTTGGTCAGAAAACCATTTACCAGTGGTCTTGACACTGAGCAGGTGCCAGGTCGTGCTGAAAAATGAAATCTTCATCTCCATAAAGCTTTTCAGCAAATGGAAGCATGAAGAGCTCGAAAACCTCCCAATATCTAGCTGCACTGACCCTGCCTTTGATAAAACACAGTGGACCAACACAAGGAGCTGACAATGCACCCCAGACCATCACTGACTGTGGGTACTCCACATTGGACTTCGGGCACTTTGGCATTTCCTTTTTACCAGTGTTCCTCCAGACGCTGGCATCTAGATATCCGAATGACATGCAACATTTGCTTTCATCCAAAAAAAATACTTTGGACAATTGAGCAACAGTCCAGTCTAGTGCTGCTTCTATGTAGCCCAGGTCAGCCGCTTCTGCCGCTGTTTCTGGTTCAAAAGTGGCTTGACCCGGGGAATAGGGCACCTGTAGCCCCGCCTGTGCACAGTGGTTCTGGATGCTTCTACCGGACTCAGTCCACTGCTTCCACAGGTCCCCCTAGGTCAGGAATCGGCCCTTCTCGACAATCTTCTCAGGGTCCGGTCACCTCTTCTTGTTGTGCAGTATTTCTGCCAAACTTTTTCCTTCCCACTGAGGTGCCTTGATACAGTACTCTGGGAACAGCCTATTCGTTGTGTCTCACCCTCTTATTTGAGGGTGTCAATGGTGGCCTTCAGGACAGCATTCAGGTCGGCAGCCTTACCCATGATTGCGGTTTTGAGTCATGAAGCAGGCTGGGAGTTTTTAAAAGCCTCAGGAATCATTTGCGGGTGTTTTGTGTTCACTCGTTGATTCAGATGATTAGGTTAATAGCTCCTTTAGAGTACCGTATTTTCCGCACTATAAGGCGCACCGAAAAGTCTTCCATTTTCTTAAAAGCTCACAGCGTGCCTTAAAATCCGGTGCACCTGGTGTATGGTCATTACGGTAATATGACGAACCCAAGATGGCTCCTTGCTGGAGATATGCTTACAATGTTAGAACTTGCTGTTGGTTCAGAGAACTGTGTCACTGCTTTATTGAATAAGTTTTTGTTCCAGCTTCGAAAAAAGGAGAGCTGTGGTGTTGTTTTTTTAAAACGCACACTTTATTAATGGTTTTCACAGTCTCAACAAATACAGGTACAGTACGTCTTTGTCTGTCTCTGTGCTTTCTCTTCTTCCGTTAGACTCGAGAGGCGTTCATGACCGCCTCCGAAAAACATAAATTAACAATTCCTTCAATGAAACTACGAAAATTGAAAAGAATGCATCAAAACAGAAAATCAAGATAGGAAATCACTAAATAAATTCTGTAGGGGGGGCCATAGAATTTATTCCTCGTTTGTGAATACAGTACACAACAAAGGAATAAAGAACAAACACTTCTGAGACAGTCCAGTTTCCTACATTTTATTGACATCTGATCGCTCAAGGAAATGCCAAAATAAATTCTGTAGAGGGGCTATAGAATTTATTTTGTGATTTCCTCGCTTGATTTTCTGTTTTGATGCATTATTTTCAATTTTCGTAGTTTCATTGAAGTAAACGTTAATTACGTTTTTCGGAGCCGGTCATGAACGCCTCTTGAGTCGAACGGAAGGAGCGTAGCTCCATCGAGTGGATGCATTGTAGATTGCGCCTTATAATCCAGTGCGTCCAATATATGAAAAAAATTACAAAATAGGCCATTCATTGAAGGTGTGCCTCATAATCCAGTGCGCCTTTTAGTGTGGAAAATACGGTACCTTTTCATGACATGCAAATTTTTTTGAGATCGGAATTTGGGGTTTTCATGAGCTGTATGCCAAAATCATCAGTATTAAAACAATAAAAGACCTCAAATATTTCAGTTGGTGTGCAATAAATCTAAAATATTTGAAAATTGAATTTTCATCATTACATTATGGAAAAGAATGAACTTTATCACAATCTGCTAATTTTTTGAAAAGGACCTGTTTATCAGAAAAGGACTGGTGACAAAAATTGGATTGATTTTATTTTTTTTGGTCACTACTGTTGTGTTTGCAATGCTATAGTAACGGGCAGTAATTACATGCAGATTTTCGCTATTCATGGGCCAGCCCGCTCCCTGTCCCCATCCACTGTAATTCAAATCCAAAGCACGCATTTTACCACTATGTCACAGCCACAGCACACCTCACCACTGCCATCTTATATAGCTAATATCGCTTATATAGTTAATGATTATTTGCTCAAAACAATCAAGTTCACCAGTTTGAGCATAATTTGCAAAATATTGCATTCTGTTTTTAGTCATACGATTTGGACACATCTGCTCGCATTCGCGTAGCTTCAATTGCAATGTCACCGGAGCAACCGGCAGAAGCGGCAAGTTGTGATTTGCTACCACCATCTGGCCCACTAAGTTCCTGTGTTGTATGCCAACCAATCACTTTTTCTTCACCCTTTTCTCTCACCAACACAATCACTATTCTCTCTCTCCAGCTCGTTCCAGAATGCCCCTCTCTTCTAGTTCCTGTCCTACCTGTGGGGTGCAATTACTAATAACAGGAAACCTAACACCCTTGATTTCAAGCTGAAGTCACATCTCTTGATCTGACACTCTCACACCCCCGCCCCCTATTAATGCCGACACTCACCTTGATAGACGTCATCCATGGCTGCAAAATCAGCGATTGGCTCATCAGCCTGAGATAACACATTAAAATGCTTTTAAATGTCATTTTCTGAACAATTCGCGTGGAACACAAAATAAAGCGCAATTGAATAGCATACAGGGTGACCTGGTGACTTGCGTGTTTACCTTTAGAGAGATGATACTCTCTGGGATGACGCCCAAACTTCCCAATGTGGCCGAGTCATCAGTCAGACCTTTCCCATCAATGGAGAGGTTTTGGTCAAACGGTGCCACAGAGAAGGCATGCATTATCTAAAGAGTTGCAAGAACAACAAATGAAATGCGGTTTGCTTGCTACCTTACAGTTAGTATTAAATGACTCAGTGCAAAGTTTTGAAGTCTTAGCTGTTGGGAAAGCTCGATATAAATTTTATTGTCGTGTATTGTAAATTAATGATCCCAAAATAGATCACAATCTTTAAGATTCAGGATAACCCAGATGTTTTTCTTTTGTTTGAATTTATTTTTAATAAATACGTTAAAGAACTCTCGTGGGTGGCCTTACCTGAATTTTCAGCTCTTTGAGGGTCTGATTTGCAGACACAATGAGGGCTTTTTCACCTCTGAGTTTCCGGTGCCGAGTGCTTCTCCTGATGCCACCGAGTTTAGTGTTGTTGGTTCCTGGAGAAGCCGCTCCTTCTGGGGTGCTGCCGTCACTTAGTTTAAGCCGCTTTGCGCCATCTTCTGACTGGTAAAAAATATCAAAAACAAGACTGAATATGTGAATCCAAATCATATAACTACAGCGGACCCTTGCAAATTTGCGGTTTGGCACCCCCCCAATTTTGACCCATTTTCTTTGGGAGTGGTGGGGGCGTGTGGGTCATACAGTCAAACCTCGGTTTTCGAACGTCTCTGTTCTCGACCAAATCGGTTTTCGACCAAAAATTTCGAGTTTTTTATGCCTCGGATTACGACCGAAAATCGGTTCTCGACCAAACTGAGCGCACTTGAATGCGCCACTTGACTCCTCTCGCCTTCCTTACACGAGGAAGTGACGCTTCCTCGGGTAGACGAGGAAGTGACACTTCCTCGTGTAGCGTTCCATTGTGAGTAGACATGTTCAATAAAGATTTATTTTTTCTAAAAGCGTGGTTTCGGTTTTCGAACAAATTGGTTTTCGAACAGCCTTCAGGAACGGATTATGGTCGAAAACCGAGGTGTAACTGTATTTTGTTTTGTAAAAACCTTATTTCAAAATATATTATTTTCTATCAAAATTCAACAGACAAAACACCATCATGAAAATGAAAGATTTTTGCAAATTAATTAAAAATAAAAAAACAAAGAACTCATAAACACAAGTATTCGCCACAGCCTTTGCCATGAACCTGTTCTTACTGATCATGAAATGTTATAAAATAAAAAAGCAGGTCACCTTTAACCTACGGTGGCACGTGACCTACATCACCGGAAGTTGTTAGCGGTCAGCAGTCTGCAATTGCAGCTTGCGATCAATGCTGTTGCGCTATATCTTATATTGTTATTATTATTCTCATTCGGGGTTTGTTTCATGTACGATTCACCGAGGGCACTGGCAAAGAATGGGAATCTGGAGGGCCGAGAGAAACATTTTTAATCGGTACACATGAGCTACGATATATAGACGCTGCAAAAGTGCGTCCCATGCCTCCGCGTCAGGTCTCTACTAAGGTAGGCAGTGATTTCCTTTTCACAAACTGTTGTCTCTACTTTATTTTTCTGTTTAGTTCATCTTAGGTACCCTTATGGCTGTTACTCATCATTGCATGCGTGTGTAAGTGCGTGCACATGCACGCGTATGGTACTGGGTCACTCGCGGGAGGTTGGTTGATCTTTGGTCCAAAAATGGTTGGGCACCCCTGAACTAGAAGAGTTCCAGCATTCCTCTGTGGATCGAGAAGCCGTCTGATGAAACAAAGTTTTAAAATGGGAGTTTGCATTTTTCAAATTTTCGATACATTTGCCTCAAAGATAAATAAAATGACTTGTTTCATAGTGTAATCATGGGGTGCTGTGCAAAGGCGTTTGACAGTCGACCCTGGCATAGTCATGCTTCGACCACTGAGGATTCTAATTTTTTTGTAATATTGGAAAAAAATCGAATATATTTGTTTCTTTTCCTCAATCCCCCCCCCCTTTTTTTTGTGGATAATGTATATTGAATGTTTATCTGTGTTTTCTGAAGAATCTTTGGGGATTTGGAAATAAAAATGTTTTTTTTTTCTTTCAGATGTGCTCCAACCTGCAATTGGCAACTGTTTAAAAGTGCAATTGGATTAATCTAACATGTTCAGTTGTTCCTTGTACAGAGACAAGTTTCTCCTGTGGGAGACCTAATAAAAAGTCAAATCAAATCAAATCAAAAATCCCAGATTTTTTAATGGTTGATTGATCCAAGATCAGCCTTAGAATCTTTAAGTACTCTTGTAGACTAATTTTGCCTTGTCAAACCAAAACACTAGCTTTGGGGTGATAACATACCTGCTAAATTCTACTTCTGAGAAAAAAAAAATGAGATGAAGATTGATCACTCCAGCACACACGAGAGCACTGAATGCATACTGCGACAAGCGCTGTGCAGCTCTGACTGTCACTGCCACCAGTCGTTGAGTACTGTATTGCTAAACAACATAACGGTGCTTCGTTTACCTGGCTGAAGTCTGGATCTCTCTCACCAGCTACCTTTGGTTGCTCTTCCTTCTCCTCCTCTGCCTCAGAGCTGCTGGCGTTCAGCTCAGGAACAGCTTCTTTAATCATCTTTTAAAAACGCAAAATCAAGTGTCATTTCGATGTCCAATAATGTTGGGACTCATCGACCACTGAATTTAAAATCTCTGGATTTGTCATACCCGTTTGTCTTCTATGATTTTGCGGATGTAAATTGTGGCTTGGGTGTACTCTCTGAGGTCTTTCTGCTGCTGGAAAAGGAAGCCCTCTCTGCACTCCCAGCAGAGATCTGAAAATATCACCACAGATAGACAAGCAACACAACGTGAATAATGATGAATATAATGGTTAAAAAAAAAGCAATAAATCGCACATGATATTTACAAGGTCGGCTTTGTGTTCAATTAAATAGGCCTAGGTGTTACACTGAGTAGGATGACCTGAGATCAGATCATTGTTACCTCAGTATTCATAATTTTTGTGGAATTTATTTGGTGGTATGCCCTGAGATGTCTCATGTAAAATGGGTGCCTTGGCTCCAATACTATGCTTCCGTTGCAGGCAAGTGTACATGCACAGTTTTTTCTTCCATAACATACATAGCTTGTTCCGAATATCATCATGCAACATGTGAATGAGAAGTCGCTCTGTGAAACTAAAGCATACTAAAAACTGTTCTCTTACCAGGCTGGGTGGTGTATTTAGTGGTGGGACCCGTGGGTGTGGTCTGTTTGACGCAGTTGATGGAGATGGGCTGGTCCACAATGAAGAGTTTGCTGATTACCTCCCATTCACTGGGCCAGAGCAGAACAATGCTGTGCAGGACAAACCAAAACAGCATGAGCTCACATTCAGGTTGTTCATGACAAATATCTAGGGGTTTAAAAGTTAGTTGTAAATCATACAACTTGTATAGAACATCTGCAAAACAAAGAAACATTTGTCATGCTTGTATGAGAATGTCACAAGAACTCATACCGAGCAGTGGTACCACTGTCACTGGTATAGTACAAATATCGGGATGATAAATATAAAATCTAAGAAACAATAAAATGATCCTCATGCCACGATGTATAGTATCGAAATATCCGTCTAACTGTTCATGCACTAAGGTGAATGTAGGTGTGGCAAACTACAGACTGTTCTAATATCACCAAACGACACCTATATCGATACAATCCTTGCCAAAAGTGGCAAGAAATGTTGGAATTCTGCTCTCTGTTCATATAGGCAGTATTTTAAAAGAGCTGAATTCCGAATGGAGATTTTTTTTCTACTCTACTAAAACAAAGTAGAGGAGAGGAGACACTCGATATACAGCGCTACAGCAATACTCTCCAGCTGAAAATTGCCAGTTTTGGCGCTTTGGAGAAAATAAATCCTTACTTGGATCTGAACAGGCAGTAAATCTAGCAACAAAGTCACGTGGAAACACTGGAGAGCAGAATTATACAAAGGGAAATTACAAATCGATGTGGGGTGGGGAGGGGGGCGCTGCATAGACCAGCATAGTTTTGTTTTCGCGCTGGTCTTACTGGTGACTCAGCCAATCTTTCAGTAACTTGGCAACCCACTCTGAAGTGAGCCACAGCCGCCCAACAGGGCCAACCTATTGCTGGGGCCCTGCCAGGAAGCTGCGGATAACTGGTAACCAGCTGGAGTCTTGCCGACGTCACCAACGACTAGCGGGGCAACAACAGCATTTCGGTCTTGCTTTGCTTCTGTTGGTAGAGCGCGTTGCCTTGTGACCGAAGCTTTGGCTGTTCGAATCTTCAACAATCTGCGTTGTTGTTTTGTTTTTGCTGCTGGTGTCCAGCACGATAACACAAATGACCCATTCTGGTCTGTGGTGTTTTGTTTTGTTTTGTTTTGTTTTTTTTGCAGGATTGGTAGCGTCATGTGGGGCGCAGTGCCGGCTAGAAGCAGAAACAAAGGAGACAAGGGCAACAGCTCAATGTTACCCATTTAAGGCAGCTGAAAACAAATATACAGGTATGTTTAAGCCATTGGGCAGAGAGAGGAAACATTTTATTTTCCAGCACAACGCAAGCTTTTTGACATTTTACTTATTTTTTCTGTCATTTTCCATATGTTTTCCATACCTGGAAATTGGTCAATCATTTTCAAAGTTTGCGTAGAAACCCTGATTTTGCTATTATGCTGTATGCAAGTGGAATAAGATGCCAACAAAAGTGAAGCTAGCCCCAAGTGTAAATGCTTGTAAATCCAGGGTAAAAACAATGCTTTTTGTTGCCCCATACTTTTGATTTAAGTCTTTTAAACATTTTAAATCAATGTCACTGTCAGCTATTTTAGAAAGCTCCTTTTTTTCTTTACTTTGCCTTTAAATCTTTTGTTTGTAAATGCAATTAATTGTTTTGTCCTGTTCTTTTATTAATTAGTTAGCTATTTTTATTCTCTGCTTTGCCTTTGGATGTCTGTAGTTTGTTTGTAAATCCCTTTAAGTGTTGTGCTTTTGGCCGTGTGCCGCACATTGTGGATGAAATGTGCTAAACAAATAAAACTGCTTTGTACTGCCCCTGATGGGACAAACCAAGTTGCAACAACTTTACCTCTTATTCTCCTATTTTCCAGCTTAATCTTTTTTTCCTTCCTGTGCTGTGGAGAATTTAAGTTGTTTTTGAATTGTTTCCAAGAGTCTCTGGGGTCACATCATACATTTGCCTGATCCCCCAAAGTCTGGTGGTAGAATTATGCCACAATTACAAACACGTAATGGGAGGTTTTAGACATTTTTTTTTGTAGCTGGGAACATATTTTTTTTCACAAAATGTGTTTTTTGTACTGACCCAAAATGTTATTTCCTGTAAGTGTATATTTTCTGTCAGTTTTTATCCACATTGTCCCTCAAAAAGTGTATCCTTGTATAACATAAGTCAAAGGCTTGCGTTACTTATTGGAACTCACTGTTGTGCATCTCCGTTGATCAGGGAGTCATAGGTGAACATGAAGCCTCCATGTGGACATACAAGGAGGTTGTTGCCCACACTGGACACTGGGGAGGATTTAGTGGGTCTTCTGTCAGTAAAAAAGAAGGACAGATAGATACATTAAATATCTTGTCAGGAAAATTAAATTAAAAAAAACATACTACATAAATGGACCAAGCACGTACTCCATATGCAACTCAACCTCCCGAGTTGTCACTCACAATTGTTACGAGTACACAGTTAAAGTAAATGTAATATATGTATGACTATAGATTGCTGCAATTGGCGAGTGACTACTTCAGTGTGTATACCGCCGACCTCGAGAAGACAGCTGGGATAGGCTCCAGCATGCCCGCGGCCCTAGTCTGGATTAGTGGTTCAGATAATGGATGGATGGACAACTGTAGATTTGTGTTGCACCAAAAAAAAATATATATATATCCATGTCGCATTATTTGCATATTTAAATTGCACATATAAATTGCAAACGACAACTATCCTTCAATACCATGTGCCAAACATTGAGATAACATGTCTTGGTCAAAACAGGGCGCATCCTCGTGACATTTTCATCCGTTGCCGAGAGTGGTCAAAGGAAAAGTTTGGTAGGCGTCAACAGTTGCGACATCGTCCAATCAGTGCAAATTATTGTCCTGAATGTCTTGCTTTCCCAAGCAGATTGGAGATTAGTAGCATTTAAAAAAAAATTTTTTAATTGTTCTAAAGTGTGTAAAATGTTTAAATGTACTCTTCCTCAAAGGTATTCTAATTAGCATCCTTCTATTAATTATTTGAATTAATACAAATTTTAAATAATTTTGCCATGGTATCCTTTCAGTTCTGGTATCGAATTACTTTATGCGGGTATCGGATCAAATTTTGGTGTTGTGACAATACTGTAGATACACACAGAAAAAAAACATACCTGATAAATTTTCTCCATTCATCCACAAAAAACAGAGGGACAACATAGAGTATGTCTGTGTCCTGGAAAAATAAAGTACAAAAGATTTATGAATGAAGTTCAGCACACTGACATTGATCGATTTTGTTACCTGGGGCCACTTGGTGAGGGTAGGCCGGTTTTTCTCATGGAAAAGGTTGAGTAGCTGGTTCTTCTGGTCCAGAGCCATCATTTTACTCACAGCCTCATTGTCCTTTTCTTCCTGTTCTAGTGTCTGGACACACATGAACTGTTTGGATTCTGCTTCCCTCCTTCATGACAGATTTAATGCAGACTAGGATGTCCCGATCACACTTTTTTGGCACCCGAGTCCCGGTCTTTGGTTTTAAGGATCTGCCGATAGCAAGTCTTGATCCAATACCTCAGCGATACATTAAAAAAAAAGCGCGCATACAAATGATCTCAAATTAATATACAAATGTACCAAAGAAGTGTATCTGTTATATGTGTTGACATGGGATGGGGAAATCCACCAAATCAGTGCAAATTGCATTTTGTCACACACTCAAAATCAACTTGTTTCCTTTTTTTTTTTTTTTTATTATTTTTTTTTTTTTAATATTTCTAAATTTGATGAGACACATATTGAGCAAAATGCGCATTGGTCAATCTCAGACCCTTTTTATTTTTCGTCGCTGTATTTTGTACTGAAACTACAGCCATGAAATTTATACTGATAGAAAGATAACATCAAAGCACAACATCAGATCAATGTGCAGGACGCTTTGTAAAAAAATATTTTCATGTAATTGTATAGCGCATTTGTGTATTGTATTACCTGGGAACTTGAATGGCAAAAATTTAAGGAATGCCCCATAGTTTAAGCTTGAATGTAGAATGACGGATTCCTCTCAGTGCATTTGATTTTTCTAATGGTAAAAAATATGTTTACATTGTTTATTGGTGTGTGCAGGCTAAAATGACAAGTCTTTGCAGCAACGTTGTTGGTGAGGACGTGCGTGACTTATCTCGTCTACAAACAACACAACTGATTTATGATTTCATGAAGTGAAACCAGTGGGAAACAAGCTTGCTTGTCAACAAATAATTTACTCTTGTTAAACTTAGATTTGAAATTATGCTGTTTGGACGCATCCCAATTGCTAAACAATCTGTCATTCAAGGTAGACTTAGGCTAGGCTATCTTAGAAGTATCTTTTGGCTTACTATGAGTGTTTGAACATCAACAATTTGCTGCAGCATGAAGGGAGAGCTGTGCACAAGCAGACGTTTCTCTGTCTGTGGCTCTTATTGTCACTCTGGTTTGAGGTTTTTTTTTTTAAATAAAAAAGTAAGGGATCAGTGACCACTTACCAGACACTGCGGACAGGGACTTTGGTCTTGGGTAAATTCAAGGGCTTTGGGGAAGTATGCCCTCAGCTTGGTCCAAACTTCAGAAGAAACCAGTTTACGTTCTGTGTCCAGAATACTCAGACCTCCTGATGCAGAAACAACCGTTGCCATTACCCATTAACCCACATCACCAAAACATAAAGTGTGAATTTGTGCATGTGTCGTACATGCTACATGTGAACATACCGTGGCTGCAGACAATGTCCTCATTAAATGTCTTCATCTCCTCCTCGTTGCCCTCTGAGACCTCAGGACTGCAGTCTATAAGCAAACAATTAGTCAATTCAGGTTGCCACTCATAGACTGAATTCAATACAGACAATGCAGATTGATTCTTAATGTCACCCTGTGTGATTCAAGTTTTTGTACGTTTCTTGCTCAGTCTTCCCTCGCATACTGCAGTTCACTTTTTGCAGTCTCACATTATCGCCGATTTTCTAATTGTACATATTTAATTGTCTAGGGATGGTCGATAAAACGTTTTTTCAGACCGACATCAGTACATGTAGGGAACTCATAGCTACTGATACCAAGTAACTGAACAACTCACTCTGATTTCGGATTCATTTGTAATAATTGGAGAAAAGTGCAAAATAAAACTGACAACTCCCTCAGATTTGGTCAAAATAAACGGAAGTGAAAAACAATACAGGTTCTGTTAACTCTTAAGCGTGCCACTATGAAGTTAGAAAATAGGGTTGGAAGAAGGAAAATAAATCAATTTACCGGTAATTTTAAAATTTCTCACAAACTGAGGGTACGTTCACACTGCAGTCAGTGTGTGATGCCAATTCAGAGTATGTTTCTTAAATGCCATTTTTTATTGAGTTGGTCACATTACAAAAACAAATACAACTTCTATTGCGAGCGGGACAGATCATTGATGTTACACACATACAAGTACGCACAAAGCACGTCAAGTCATGTGCAACAACATAACTAAGTCGCGGCAGGAGCTGGTATTTGGGGATACTGTATTAGGCGACGCGCGTCGATCTCATTTCACGGAGACATCTACTAAAGATAATGTTACATCATTGCGACATGAAACAAATGAACCGTCTGCGTGGATGAACTATCACCACAAATGCTTCATGTTCCAAGTAGGATTAAAGTCAAATAAAAACTCAACACTGTTCCTCTAAACTAGGACTGAAAAGAATCCTCTAGGCACTCAGGTAACTCGATTTAAAAAATAAAATAAATAAAAAGCTTGCGTGAAAACAACATGTATGGCAGTTTAATGGAACACTCTAAATCAGGGGTGCCCAACCTTTTTTGACCGAAGATCGACTTTACAAGCGGCCAACTTCCCGCGATCGGGTGATCGTGAGCGTGCAAGCATACACAAACGCACGCACACAGGTATGGAACCATGCACATTCGCGCATATGTACGCACGCTATGATGAGCAACAGCCGTAACGTCCCCAAAGATGAATGAAACCGAAATCTACAGACACACAAATGCCCCCCCGGCGCACCAATTTCCCCCTCCCACCCCTCGCAATTGACTTGGGACCAGCCCGCGGTTGATTGTGATCGACCGGTTGGGCACCCCTACTCTAAATTGTCCCTAGGAGTGATTGTGAGTGTGAATTGTTGTTTGTCTATGTGTGCCCAGTTTATGGTGTACCCCGCCAACTGCCCAAAGACAGCTAAGATGGGGCCCCAGCACACCCGCGATGCTGGTGAGGAAAAGCGGATAAAAAAAATTGATGGATCGATCCAATCATAGAAACTGTCCCCTTTTATATAAATACATTTGAATAAATGGCGGCCCGGTGGTCCAATGATGAGCGCATCAACCTCACAGTGCAGAGGTCATTGGTTCGATCCTGGCTCCGGCATTCCTGTGTGGAGTTTGAATGTTCCCCCGTGCCTGCGTGGGTTTTCTCCGGGTACCCCGGTTTCCTCCCACATTCCAAAAACATGCATGACAGGCCAATTGAACACTCTAAATTGTCTAAGTGTGAGTGTGAGCGTGGACGGTTGTTGGTGTCTGTGTGCCCTGCGATTGGCTGGCAACCAGTTCAGGGTGTCCCCCGCCTGCTGCGCGAGGCAGCTGGGATAGGCTCCAGCATGCCCTTGTGAGGATAAAGTGGATCAGAAAATGAATGGACGGATGGATGGATGAAAAATATACAGTAAATAAACAAGTTATTTAAATTGACATGTTGCTTTTATGATCAGATCATTTATTTATTTTAATCACTGATTGCCGACTGGCTACAAAAATCCTGATTGTGTAAAACCTAGTTAAAACCAAGAAATACTCTTACCCTGGCTGTTGTGGGCATGTGAGCCATTCCCGTTGCTTTGACCATTGCTCGGTTCGCTTTCATGTTCATCCTTCTCCAGTTGCTCCAGAGCCAACTGCCTCCAACTGCGCAAGGAGGCTTTGCCCACCCAGTAACCTTCTCCACTGGTAGAAACAGATACACATACAGGGAAATAAAATGATTAATTAAAAAATAGGGAGTAATTTAAAACAAAAATAAAACTATTAGTTGACATATGATCACCAAGATTGTTTGTACTTTTAATTAATGGTGTTGCATTTTAACTTTATCACTGGAATGAACCAGAAAACATACCATGGATGGGAGACATACATATTTGAAGATTGACTGAATAATGGTAGGGTGTGACCGATTATATCTTATCAAAATAGCAATAATCAGCTGAAGTTTTGACAAATAAATGCAGATACCTTATTTTCTTATGAAGCAGTAAACGCTGTTAAGTAGGCATGGGCAGGAAGTAAAGGGCATGCATTGCTGACAGAAAGTTACTCTGTGTGAATTGCATCCATCCTTCTCTGCAAATGTCTCCATTGTGGGACAAATAAAGGTTTCTTATCTCATCTTATCTTATCTCGAGTCTCTAATATGCATATTAAGATGCAGTGTGTGTGTGTGTGTGTGTGACACGTTGTCGGCGAAACACTGGGCGACGAACGTGACGCCATGTAATCGCCGCTCCACCCCGTATATGGGAAGTTTTATTGGACGCAGACGCGCGTAAATGTTTTAATCGGAACGCGTTTGTCTCGTACAGTCAACCGTGATGAGCTAGCGTTAGCCTGCGAGGATTAGCTCGGCACAGAGAAGCTTCTCGCTCTTTCTGTGACATGATCTGCGATGCCTTTTTCCCCCTCTAAATTGTTCATATTTTATATCATCACGCCATTCCTTTAGGAATTACTCGTACGTGTGTCTGAAATTTGCACTGTTTCTAAACATTTGTCAGCTTGGGCTCGATAACCGGGTTGTTAGGTTTAACGCTGTAATTGCTTTATGAGATGATACAAGATGAATAGGCGCTTGTGGTCTTCCGGTGTGAGACTGATAATAATAATAATAAAAATGATGATTTATTGTGCGTGAACTAAAATTATGAAATGTAGTTAATCTTCGGTATTCGCGGGTCTAAAATAGACGAATAGTGCACGCCCCCACCCTGAAAATGTTCATACTTACCTGCGTTACCGTAAACATACACCAAACTGGGATCCCAAATCTTTTTTTTTCCAATTACCAATTGCTGCATAACTGTAAAAATAAGTGCCTGACAGCTCAGCACCAACGATAACTCCCCCTTATAAAGATACTACTTTTTGTACGCATGTCTGTTTTGTACTTTATGCACGGCACCTTGGAATGCATCTGTCGTTGTTTTTAAAGCGCTCTATAAAAATCAATTTGAATAATATGTATATTAAGATGCAGTGTGTGTGTGTGTGTGTGTGTGTGTGTGTGTGTGTGTGTGTGTGTGTGAATTAGAAGAACAACTGTACAAAAAATTCCCGGTTCGAATGGTATCCGATATTTTTTTCAATACAATTTTACTTATTGCAAAATTTTAACGCATTGAATTTTTCATGTTCAAAGAGTTAATAGGTTATTGGAATTTTTTCTGCTAAATAATGGCACTGGCCTCGGAAAAAAAGAAAAAAAAATCCAAATCAGTTGGGCTCTTAAATAATTGAACCAAAATTAGAATTTAATCGGTGACATAATCGCTTCTATGATTACCTGATGGTACGCTTGACCAGATTGGAGACTTCCTTGTAGTCCTCATGAAGTTGATTCTTTAGGCGTAAGACCCTGCATCGCTGTTCTACACACTCTCGGCATAGAGTGGAGCCTGCAGTTTCAGACAAGTAGTGTGTTTTGGTCACACATTTCTCATGTGAATGCAAAATTAGTTGATTTAGCTTCCCATCCAGCACAAATCCAGTTTGTCTTTCTCCTACCATCAAGCCTTGGCCCTCCACCGTAGCGCTCGAATAGGGCCTGCCCAGCTGTCTGAGAAACCCTCTTGACATCTCCCACTTTGTCGGGATGTAGTTTGCCATGAGAACACAGGAAGTGTGAGTTGTCGATTTTCTTGGTGGCGGTAGAGTCATCCAGCCACTTCTTCAACCAATCCAGAGGAATAAACTCGTACGGCTCTCCTACAACCACGGATGCAAGAAAACATGAAACAGACGTCACCTCTGAATTTCCATCGCTGAAATAGGCATTATTCCCTCAAATTGTGGTCACCGCTTTGTAGATGCCACACCTAAACGACTCACTTCCCTCAATATCACTTGTTGATTATCTTTCCTATGAAATCTGACATGCTATGACAATCTGATATGTGTCATGGTAAACATGTTTAGCAAACCACCCCCGGCACAACAGACACGGTAGAGTGAGGAGGAAATGCAAATGTGTGCAGTGCAGAGAAACTAAAATCGCGGGTCAAACTCTCCTGCATAAAATTCCAAAAATGTTCCTTGACACCACATCCATCAAACGATAATTTTCCAAGGTGGTCGGAGAACGTGGTTACTCACCTTCTCTTGCAGGTAACAGCTCGTACAGCTCCTTCACTTCTTCGTGCTTCGCTTTGCCCTTATCCACACTCTGTTTCCTCATGTCCGACATTTCACTGCACCACTCCTCAAATTTATGGTTGTCTTGGTCCACCAACCTCTGAAGGAACTCTTGGGGGTTAGGAAAGGAGTGAAACAAACCTCAGACAAGACAGCAGACATTGATGTTGACTGCAAGTTTATAACTAACGCAGAGGTTAGTCAGACTACACCAACACAACCCGATTTTGACTTGACAGGCGTATCACAGACAATGTAGTGTGTTGTGGCCGATTTTGCGTTGTGGTGACACGTCGTAACCCTTGTGGTGTGACATACTCATACATGATTGGTTGTCTGGCATCTGGGATGCTTCAGGACCATCACGCAGAAAGTCTGGCATGTTCATTTTGCCACATAGTGACATGTCCTGCATCAGAAGTGCCCAATACGTCGATTGTGATCGACCCGTAGCTCACGGACTGGTCCAAAGTTGATCGCGAGGGGAATAGGGGAGCTTGGGGGGGAACATTTGTGTCTGTGTGCGTGTTATTAATATGACATATTGTGTTAGTGCACACTGCACCCTTAGCATCCTATCAGTCTCACTTTCACAAAAAGTATTTAAAAAAAAAAAAAAAAAAAAAAAAAAACAGGTAACCTTTAACCTACAGTGGCGCATGTTCGCGCTCAGCAGTCTGCAAGTGCAGCTTGCGATCAGAGCTGTTGCGCTACATCTTTTATTGTTATTATTCTTCTCATTCAGAGTTTGCTTCATGTACAATTCACGAGGGCACTGGTAAAGAATGGGAACCTGGAGGGCCAAGAGAAGCATTTTAAAACGGTACACGTGAGCTACGATAGTTAATACGCTGCAAAAGTGCATCCCATGCCTCCGTGTCAGGTCTCGGCGAAGGGAGGCAGTGATTTCCCTTTCAAAAACCCACAAATTCTTGTCTCCTGTATTTTTCTGTTTCGTTCATCTTAGGGGCTGTTGCTCCTCGTGGCACGCGTGTGTAAGTGCATGCGTACGCGAGCGTGTGCAGTTATGGGTCGACTGCGGGAGGTTGGTTGATCGAAAAGTAGATATTTGGTCAAAAAAGGTTGGGCACGCCTGTCCTACGTCATTCTACATTTGGTTCCTCTGCATTGACTAATTGTGAGATGAAGCAAAATGCCCATCACAATCACCTGACCAACGCGCTTTAGCGCCTTATTCTGCCCAAGAGATCTCATGGGATACAAGTGTGGGCCTATGCTGAAACAGGTGTTGTGGTTCAGATTAACTGGCTCCCATTTACAGCTGTGGCTGTTGGGGCAATGTCAGTCAGGAACATTTTTTTCCTGTCTGCAGATTCGTCACACAGCTTCATGCATTTTGTCTAACTGTATGTGCTTGGCTTTTCACTAAACAGCAACAGCTCCTTGGCTACTCCCGATTGGCTGCAAAAATGTACGAGTTGATCAGTAACGTTGCCAAGCAAAGTAGGGTAATCCCGCACTGTACATTTTGTTCACAAGCAAGGTCACGGCTTCCCACGGTTCGTTGTAACGAAGGCATATTCACTATTTTATGGGAAAAAGCTGGTCAATATAATGAGGTTTACGTTGTAAAGGTGTTCGTTGTTAAGCAAAACCGGCAAATGGAAAATTAACTGCGTGAAATTGGGACTTTGAAATATGAACATTATAGGGGTGAAAACGGAAATGGGGTAATCTAACAGCGTGACCATAGTAAATGTAAGTGTCATCAGAATAGTTTGTTGGAAGTGAACAATATTTTGTTTCAACCTCAAGGCAAAGAGGACATTTTGTGTTTGTTTTATGTACATTATTATTCACGTTGTGAGATATCTATTTTGTGCATAAATTAAGTTTCGTCATTTGACGTTATCACTACTATCGCGAGACTTGCGAGGAGGTAAGGTGGTTTTTACCTAGACACAGACAGACACTCGAACGCAAGACATCAGAAGAGCAGCAGCTGTAAGGACTGTTGGCTCGTTGTTGAAGGTAATTTGCGATTTATTTGGCTGTGTAAATGTAAGTAAATTTAAGACCTGATTGTAATCGATATATTCTGTCATGTAGATTCCTAAAGTGTATTTTTGTTGCCCAAGACCTTCGAAGTGGCAGGCGGCAATGAGGTTAGCATTAGCCAACATTTCTGTACTAGCCTCGTATATTGTTTCTGTATTGTAAATTGCCGAATGTATTTTATTTTACCGACAGTTTTCACGGTGTCGTGTTGGTGTAACAAGACAACCCCAAAGACACGATTAAACACCCGTCATTTGGAAACCACGTGCCCTGGTTTTGTTACTTTGGAGCTACAGTAAAGAACAAAAAATCTCGTCATCCAGTAAGAGCTTCGTATAAAGCAGGTTTCTCAAGACTGTGGTTTGTCATTCATTGATGCAAAAAAAGAACTTAAATTCAACCTACCAGGCACTTGAACTGGGGCCACAGCAGGATCTGCGGTTTCCTCTTCCTGGACTTTATACACCAACATGTAGGCATTTCTGGAGCAGTGGTAGCCTTTGCTGCACTTGGGTTTTCGTGTCTGAGACTTCACTGTTTCAGCTGAGGACAAAAATAAGACCAAGGAGGTCGTGAATACAGTCTGACAATTTCTTCAAGCAGAAATGAAATGAAAATTCCTGTATGATGTATACTTGCAGTGCCGCTTACCAATATCATCTTCTCTACCCAATTGCAGCTTCTTGCCTTCCATCTTTTCAATTTCTTCATCATTGAATTTGTACCAGTCGCTGGTACGAGCGTCTTTCACATGGGCAATATAATGTCCTGAGTAGGCACTGATGCCACGGTGGATCAGCACTGCACTCAGTTCATACACACACTTCTGATCTAGAAATGTGACACACGGTTTGGGTCAGAGGTATTTGGACAACACACGCACAAAATGTACTCAAGGATCAAGGATTAAAATGCAGTCCAAAGAGTTGTCACAAAACTAGAGAAGTATACAGTCCTCTCCAAAAGAATTGGTACGGCAAGGTCTAATCCTTTGGCTTTGCTGTACTGAAGACTGAGGTTTGGGAGCAAAAGCTAAATCACAAGTCCATCTTTCTATCTATCTATCTATCTATCCATCCACACACACACACACACACACACACACACACACACACACACACACACACACACACACACACACACATATATTTGTCTATATATGTGGAGTAATATTGTGTGAGAGATTATGTGTGAATAACTGCTCCAAGTGAAAAATATTCATGTAAAATTGAAAATCGAAATTGTTGTTTCAGTAAATATTTGCATTTTGCACATAGAAAACTGATCCATGATTCCATGTTAATGAGAGCATTAAAACGGGGAAAAATAGGAAAAAAAATATAAAAGGAAATTCAGAAACGATAAAAAATGTGAGTAATCACGATTAATTATGAGTTAATTTGAGTTAATTATGACAGTTGTGTTTTTAATTTGATTAAAGATTTTAATCATTTGACAGCCCTAATATATATACAGGTATATGTATATATACAGTAAATATTCCCATCCCCGGAATTCTATGAAAAGGAATATCCTTCACCCGGAACAAAAGCCTGTGCATTAACATTTTGACTACGATATTACATGTTACCGGAACTTACGTAAGCGGAAATTCCACTACCCGTAACCCGGATTGAGACGTCATGCCGCGGGAGCTTAAATACACGCAACGCCCACCCGATGCTACGGAACGACGACACCGAGACACATTTTCACTTCGCGTTTTTCGATCATCAGATTCGAAACGACGACGTGTAAGTGAGGTTTTATTGGCGTGCGTTTTACTGTAATTGTGAATGATTTTAACTTTATTCACTTAACGTCCTGTAGAACGCGGCACTAGCTTAAAAGCAGCACCCACTCGACAGGATCGAAGAAACGTGTTCGCTTCGCCGTTTACATTCATCAGATTCGAAACGAAGACGTGTAAGTGACTTTTTATTGGCGTGCGTTTGACTGCAATTGCGAAAGATTTTAACTTTATTCACTTACGTCGTGTAGATCATGGCATCGAAACGTAGAAGAACTGTAATGACTGGAGCGGAGCGAGTGAAATGCATCCGTTTGAGCAAGGCTGGACACAAAGTTAAAAGCATCCAGCAGACACTTGGAGTCGGAAAGACGCAAATCTACGAAACTTTAAAAAACAAGGCATC